TGCCACAACAATTTGATAGCACCAGACAGTGTGCGTTAGCCATTTGCCATTTCTGTGTTCCAGTAAAGACCTGCCTGAGGAGTGTGTCAGGGGAAGGTGATCGGGGGTTTAGCGTTACTCTCAGCTGAGTCACCCTTCCAGTTGATCCCCATTTCTCTTTTGTTTTTGCCAGTGTGTGGGCCATTCTTTAATAACGGTAACTTAAGTCCAGTGTGAGCTCAGTTAACAACATGGACTGACCACCGACTTCAGCCTATCAACTCACACACACAGAGTGACATCACTTTAAAGGAGGTCACAGTAATCAGATTATCCTAGTTATTCAGATGCACTGACAACCAGCAAACCAAGTATGTTCAAATTAGCCCCCCAGGCAACGTGAGGGAGAGGCAGTTATTACAGTAATTTTGGTAAGCTAATGTAAATGTCTTTGTCCCTGACTCTTCGTGTCATTGTTCTAATATGATACATTTACAAAGCACCATTGATTTACACCAATTGTGAGGGGCTACTTTATTTTGACTGCTAAAATTTAAATATCAGAGTTAAATTTTGTGACAAATGCTGACGCTAGTAAGGGAATGCAGTTATTGGTGAGGTAAAAGGGTACCATACATACAAGCCCACTATAGTGTGTCGTTGAGAGGGGACTGTACTGTGGGGGAGGGGGATGTCTAGGGTGCAATAGAGGGGAGCTGGGAAGAGGCTGGAGGGCTTGGAATCCGCCTCTGTTGCCACGGCAGCTGTGCCGATCTCCAAGTACGCCTACAGTTTGAAGAGGATACCTGAGCTCAGAGCCCCTGGATAATGAGAAGCAGTGAAACTCTAAACTCTGACAGCTAATGCTTTTACCCCTCCTGTGTCTACAGGGGCACGATAAACATGCATCCCATCTCTGGGAGAGGGAGCAGCACTGGGATGACTATTTTCATGGATTTGACAAGGACAGGGATTAGCAGACTTTGCTAAATCTTCTCTTGAGTGTCTGTCAAGCTCTGCTACTGCAAAAACTGCAAAAGCTGTACCCTTAGTATCTAGTGTGCAGTGTTCCTTTTCCCAAGTGCATCCATACTTATTCATTCAGCTACTCTCTTCTTTCTGCCCACAACAACTCCAACTGCGCTTAGCAGCAAATAGCACAAAGGACCAAAAATAGCCCAATGTTTTACAGGGCAGAGCAGCTCTCCTTAAGAAGAGGAAGCAATGCCACGACAAGAGGCTATGAGCAAGTCCACACACAGCATCTATTCCTTTTGTTCTGTCACTACAGTTGCCCCACCTGTGCAAAACCCATAATTCCCATTGCAAATTTGAGGATGCAGAATTATATATTTGATGCACTGCATTTATGTTGGGACTGTATCTGTCATGCTAGAAGTGTCCCAAAGGCATTTACCCTTAATCAATATGTTGCTGCGTATGAATATGTGTTGAGTGCATCAGAACATTCTGAGAAAATGTTTTGCAAATGTTGTACCTTTAGGGGTACAACAGCTTGTTGCTGGGGCTGTACCCTCAAAGGGACATCTTTGTATCCTTTTGAAACCTTAAACGTTCATATTAGCATCTTAAGGGTTCATATTACTACTCAAAGATACTAATATGGACTTTTAGGCACAGATGAGGTGCAAAGTTGTTGCTTTAGGGGTACTGACCCAGTGACAAGTTCTTGTACCAATAAAGGTGCAATTTTTGCTGTGAAATATAAAGAAACATTACTCACTGTTGCTTGATTTGAGGTCTCGATGGATGATTGGCACAAAGGTCTGGTTGTGCAAGTAGTCCATTCCTGTCACAATCTGCACAGCCCAATTCACCAGTACCCGAGGAGGAACCTTCTTCCCAGCAAGTGCCCGGTTAAGTGCCCCGCCACGGGCATATTCCATAACCAGGCAAAGATTTGGCTCCCGCAGGCAAACACCTCGGAGGGCAATGATGTTGCGGTGTTGGAGCATCCAGAAGAGCCTGGCCTCCTGCCTCACGTTCTCTGCCGTAGCACTGATGTCCTCATCTGGGTCCTGACGAGCTGCTTTAACAGCTACTTCCTCACCTCGCCACACACCTTTATACACCTTTCCAAAGCCTCCAGCACCGATCACCTCCTCCAAGCACAGCTCTGAGAAATCAATCTCCAGTGGCGACTCCCCACCGACCAGACCTCCCGGAGGCAACGCTGGATAGCTGGTGTCCCGTCGGGTCACATAATTACTAGGAAATATGCCCACCTTGTCCTGGATCTTGCCAGTCCACCAGCCCTCATCTCCAGACACTTTTGAGTCCTTGGAGAGCACCTCCAGTAGGTCGCCGCGTCGCAAGGTCAACTCCTCGTCCGCTGTGGCCTCATAATCAAAGACAGCTGTCCAGTATGTGTTACTGCCTTCATGATGATGAGGAAGATGGGAATCTGGGGAGTCCACCGAAGAGGAAAAAGTAGAGGAGTTCTGGCTGCTGCTGTTGTGTGTCAGGCAGGGTATTGAGTTTGCATTTGCTGGGAGGGCAGGGGGAACTCTGGGTCCACAGGAACCTCCCCTACTGGTACAAGGTAGCGGGGCAGCACTGCCACCACCTCCAGCTCCTACTCTACTCAGACTCGTATATGGATCCATCACTGAGTGTTCAGGTCAGCGATGTGGTCTCAAAAGCTGGAGGAGGCCCTCTGTCAACTTGCGCACAATATCCATGCAGAGCCCATCTACTGAGTGCAGGCCTTCTTGATGAGGAACGAAATCAATAAGTAAAGCTTTTGCTGGGCTTCCACTGCACTGTCCTCACCGACTGCTTGGATTGTCCACAGCACACTTTGTGTGTGTCTTAACATTTATAGAGCCATTTTAGTCAGTCAGTATGTGCTAACAGCTCTAATATGATGATGCTCTATAGTGCTATAGATTTATAGATGATGACACTGAAAAAGAGTTTTGCTAGAGAAACCAAAGTCCTTGAGATTAGGTGAGAATATCCAGTCCATCAAGGTGTGAGAATCTTATATTTTTGGTTACTTGATGCAGCATTGGGCTTTTCCATCTGAAGAATCATTGAAGACACTGCTTGGTTGGTTTCTCTTTTTAACAGCAGAATCCAGAAGTAAACAAATAGTACTAAAGATAATACAGTAACTAGATGGGTCTTCTGATAATTTGCTTTACATCACACATCATCATGTTCTAGTAGGGGTTAGGTTCTACCTAAATAGCTTGCACTGGAATGTTGTCTTAACCTCTAATCCTCTGATTCATGTAAAACTCTCATATTTGTAAACGTACATCGATGTTAAACTTTTTTTGCAAATTAATGTTAATGAATATTCATAGCCTTAAACACATGCATGCGCAGGCTTAAGCCTTAAGGCATCCTCAAACATTCAGCTCTGATTGGCTCACAGAGATGCACCAGCTCGCGATCTCAAAACATCCACAATTATTTGCACATTTGTGATATTCACTTTACGTGTCTCTTGTGTTGTATAAATTCGAAACATTGCGAACGCTGTAAGACAGTTCAAGGAAAGCGCGCGTCCATTTTAAGATGAGAATCACAACATGACATGACACAGAGACACAGGCAACACAGAGCCGTGGCTGTCATGAGCTCTAATCGACATACATAATGTACGCCACATATTTATCGCTTTGCACATCGGGAAAGGCATATATTCGGCGTATTAATATGTAATCGATAAACGTTACTATAGCCACTACAAGTCTACTGTTTGCAATTTAATCCAGGTCATAAACCAAAGCGACTGTCGGTTCGTGTTATTTCTATGAACCGCATGTGCAAGTGCTTACTTCGATCATTTCGTCCTCATTTTCCATAATTGTCATTTTAACAGTAGACATTTTATTTTCATAGAGCAGTTGAATCATCAAGCGGGAGTCAGATGCGTATATAAATAGAAATGTATGACAAGCTAAACAAAACTTCGGCTTGGTATTGGATTATTATGATACAGCGATATTGATATATTTCTATGAAGAATGAGAGTGATGCGGATGGCTTGCATAAAGGTGACTTTTGTCCAGGTCGTAGCGATTAGGCGACGAAATTCTCCATAATATGTTTATGTTGCCCAAATAAAAGCCAACACAAGATGTGTCCACCATCTTTACAATGACAATACTACTACTAATAATATTAATAACAATAATGGTAATAATAATATCCACCTAATTACTTTCTAGATTCTGCAACGATATTTCTTTTAATCCAGAGATCATTGGTAAAGTATGTGTTCCTCCAGCCAAATCAACCGGTTTTCTGAATTCGGGTGTATGTTTGTGGTTGCCTGGATCGTTCACCGTACATCACAACATCCACACAGCTCGTCGCATGGGCGTATCATACCGCTGAAATATTGCCATTTGTTGTACACATCATCGAATTCCTCTGAAGGATGCTCTTGTAGTCGTGCTCCCAGCTGGGTCAGTTGGTCGGCCTGTCGTTCATCTCAACTTGAATCGTTTCTTCCCCTGTTTCCTTTCCCTGTGAGAAAGGCAATCTATTCCATGGACCATTGGTTTTCCCATATAGTCACGGTGTGCGAAGGTATTAACTGGTTTAATGCCAGTGGCTTCTATAATCGTATCTTAACCATATGGCATACGGTTATGGAAATGGAAATGGAAATGAAAATGAAATGTACAATATTGCTTTGTTTTTGTTATAAGAGAAATACTATATTTATAACGCAAAGAGGAGAAGTTTAAACCCAAATTCCACTAATTTCACTGTCAAAAACAGGAAAGCCAGAAAGACGGTGTCGTTGTTTAATGAATATGCCATTCAAGTGATGTCTACTAGTTGTTTAATTTGTCTGTACATCGTTCGCAATGCTGTAAATTAAATTATAAACTAACAATTTGCTCCCCACGTTACATTGCGGAATTCACTGTCTTTCATACATTACTACAGACACTTGTGAATGCATCTTCGCGCATGCGCAGTGGCCTGTGTGTGTGTGTGTGTGTGTGTGTGTGTGTGTGCGAGTAGCACCGGGCGTCGTGGTTTCGGTTGGCTGGGAGGAAGAGGAATAACGAATGTGGAGCCAAGAAGAATTCCTCGTTGGCGAACGGCGCTGGGGCGAGAAGCGACAATATCCACAGGATTTCTGAAACGTTTTTACGGACTACACATGTCTCCTTAGGGAAATTTAGGGAAGTTTTCCCCTCGCGCGTTCCAGGGTCGGCTAAGGTAAGAGACGTTTACCGGGGATAATTAGTTTTTACGATCAGGTTTAAATCAACAATGCGAAGTGGCGAGTAAAACTCGGGAGCCTTTGGACAGCTTTCAGTTTTTGTTTCTTTATTATGTACACGATAATATAGTGGGCAGTGGTGGTTTTTATGAAGCAAGCACTGGTCATTATGCAGGATTTGGGATCACTGTAATGTATTTTCATTAAGTGAAAACACGTTAGCAAATATAAACGCTTTAGTCCTTCCTGATCAGTCAGCGCGCATGCGTCAGCACTGTGTATTTTACTCACCTGAAAGGCCATGCTACAATAGTCGGTCTACAAGTTTCACACAATGGTGCTCTTGTTCTCGCAGAAGTTGGAGTCTTTTGAAGCATCTTAAAATGATGTTTGTTGCTGGAGAGGGCAGATTGTTGCTTTCTCTCACTGCTGCCGTTGACACAAAAATAGTCCCAAACTTGGAGCCGATTCTTCTTCCAGGTAATAACTTAAGACAAAATGTGTTTTTGTGAAGAGCTGAATGCTGTTGTAAATCTCAGTAACTGCATCCAGGTGTTAGGCTAAACTCCAGTTTTCTGTAACGTACCCTGTAAAGTAGCAGTATATCTGTGTGTGAAGGAATAGCTGGAGTTCTTGGAGTTCTTTTTCCATCAACTAACTAGAAAAGCCTCTTAAACGCACAAACACTGTCTTTCGCAGTCTGCTGGGTTAGTTATTGATAGGTTGAGGGTTTTGAATAGACAAACTCAGCTGAGAGTAGTCCTGGATTGTCTGAGGGATTTGCATTTTGTCATTTGAGTCCTCGTAGGTCTGTTTAAGGCTGTGGTGGCATTTTCTTCTGCAAACATGCCTGATTGTTTTGTTTGTTCTTACATTTGTGTGTCATTGTTGTCAGGTGAAGAGAGAAATGAACAACTTATGGGCCATGAAACATGTCTTTTTAAGCTCTAAAGATGCAAAATTATGAAATATTTTTGAGCAACAGTGAGGTCAAGAAGTTTAAACCATAAGTGGTTTGAATTTCATGTAGGTCAAGAGTGAGTTATGAACAATAGCTATATCTTTATTGTCACATTACACTACACACCCTTCTCTGTGGTCAACAGTGTGTTTAGACAGACAAAAGACTTTCTAATTCATTTACTAAATAGACAGTACTTTTGTGAGTAATTTAACTGGGCTTGACATGCTTTTGGTTTCATCTTTTGTAAATGACCAGTCTGAGCAACAGAAGGGGAAAAGATAATATTTTGACATGTAATAACTGCATACTAATGTGGACTTTAGTATTCTCTCTGGGTTACATTCTCGGGTAGGTTATTAGTGTGGCATCACTACCTGCTTTCATGTCATCCATTAACTGGGCCAGAAATATCCCTAATAAATTAGCTATTTGGTTTGAGTTTAACACATTTGTGCATTATTTGTATATACACATTATGTGTTTTTGGTAAAAGGCAGAAGATTTATCTCCGCAATCTTAACAACAGGTGGCTTATGTATTGTTATCGGATTAAAGAAATAGTTCAACCACATTATTATTCTGCATTCATTCATTTACTATCATCATGTTACAAACCTGTATGACAGGTTGTTGTTTTTTTGGGGGGCAATACAAAAGTTGTAGAATCATAGCCTCAATCATTTGCTTTAACCCTGTAAAGCCACATGTAAAATATTGGTCAGTCATCATCTAATTGTTTGGTAATGCAACAGTTTATTGAACCTTTAAATCTAAACAACAAAAACAACATTTGGTTTGTTCATTCTCTCTCTCTCTCTCTCTCTCTCTCGTTCACTCTGCTCTCTCCTGCCTGTTTGGCCAGAGTAAATATAGCCTGTTTGGTTTTTTACGAGAGGATAAACACAGATGTCGAATCCGACTGTTTGCCACTGCGGACTCACCCCAACGGTTTCTCTTAGAGATATAGAAAATGACAGAAAAGGTATAATCATTTCTTAGAAAATGCACAATAATAATCAGAAAAGGCTTAATGTAGTGTATACAGTTAGGGGTTAACTGTATCCTTATTGACCAGTTTGGCCGGCATGTGCCAAGTCACAGACTCACGGTTAATAGAGTTACTTCGTTCTAATTGTGTAATCACTGTAATAGTGTGCAAGGTAGTTAAATATTACATTAGTAATCGCACATTAGCTTGGGAGCTATTTGCATCGTTAAGAGAAAACTGGTCTTTCTGCTTGTTTTTCTCATTTTGAGCGCTTAAAACTGACAGCATTGTAATATGATAGGGTACAGGATAGCATATAGGCTTTATTTGTGATTGTAGAGCTACTCAACCGAAAGGCAGCAAGTCGATCTGTCACCTCGGTGTCATGCCTTATTGACATGTCTTTTCTTGAGAATGTGTCATTTGTGAAAACGATTTCCACAAAGTGTCGGTGGAAGTCGGCAGGCTGCCATGCTGTTCTTACACCTGTTTCAGTTCAGCCTCTCCATCTGCTCCGCTCCAGAACCAGAGAGACCTGATTGACGAGAGAGATCCCACAGAGTCGAGGGAGTTTGAGCGCAGAACAAAACGAGTCTTTGATATTGCCCCCCCCCCCATTTAGAAACAAGTTGCATTCATAACAGAATAACAGAAAGCTGAAACCTAAAACTGTCATGCATAGCTTAAGTGTAATCTGGGGTAAAGTTTAAAAACAAAATAAAGTAGGAAAAATGTTGAGATACACATTGTAGGGATTTTGTCAGGGCTGTCGCATAATATGAATAACATTTTTAATTGTTAGAGTTTGTGATGTATTTAAAAAAATAAGAGTGATGCACTAATAGAAAAATACGTTTTATGGTGGCTGATAATGACTGTGATTATGTATATTATAAATGTACACTACCATTCAAAAGTTTGGGGTTGGTAAGGAAAAGACGAAAAAAAGAAGTCTATGTTCACCAAGGCTTCAGTTTATTTGATCAAAAGTAGAGTAAGAACATTACTGTAAATATTATTACTATTTAAAATAAGTTAGCCTATATCTGTTTGGTTATATTTTAAAATGTAATAACTCTAGTCTTCAGTGTCACATGATCCTTCAGAAATCAATCAAATATGCGGATTTAATATTTAAATACATTTCTTATTATCAGTAGTGAAAACAGTTGTGCTTAATATTTTTGTGAAATTTGTTATACTTTTTTCAGTATTGTTTGATTAATTGAAAGTTCAAAAGAACAGCATTTATATGAAATAGAAATTTTAAACATTATAAATGTTAATGTTACTTCGGATCAATTTAGTGCATCCTTGTTGAATAAAATTGTTAATTTCTTTTAAAAAAAAACTGACCCCAGAATTTTAAACAGTGTTATATTTTCAAGTGAAATCAGGCATCAAAACATATAATATAATGTACTGTACATTCAAAGATGTACAAAATATCAGCATTTTGTTGGTTATTGGCTGATATCTGTGAATATTCATCAGCTGATATAAATTTTTTTCTGCCTTTTTTAAGATTTAGATCATCGTCTAATTTAAAGGTCCCCTGAAATGCTTAGAAACACGCAGTGTTAGTCTATGTGTTGACGTCATTTGAACTGAAACAGGAAGACAGGGCGGGACATATCAAGCAACCCCGCCCCTTTTTAAAATAGCCAATAGCCTTCGTTTATATCACAGCTTGGGCTAGAGCCGTCCAGAGCCGTTGAGCTCCGTAAAGCTGCATTTGACAGGGTATGCCAGCCACAATCTCATCCATATTGCTATAAAATATAGCATTCTGTGTAGAATTCAAATAGCTCTGATACATTTTGTGGTCTGCGCCGACTCGCGCATGTGATCCGCTCCATGCTATCGTGTCTCTGGACCGGAGCAAAGTGTGTGTGCGGTGGTTAGCGTGACAGCGCGAAACCAGACTTCTTTTTTTCCTCAATGGAAAGCATATTTACACTGTTTGAATCGTTCCCTGTCCCCTATATAGTGCACTACGTGCCATTCACTGTAATAATATAACTGTAATAACTATATAATAAAATACTAATTCTGTGGACAAGTGACCGATTTCAGCCGCGGCTTCAGCGTCTATTTTACAGTGTAGGGGGCGGGCGCTTCGGATTCTAGAGAGCATTTGATTGGACAGAAATTTTGATGAGATGTATAATGTGACGTCAAAAAAAATGTAAAAATCCCTAGTAAAAATGCTTTTTTTTATGTGCTGTAACATTAAAGAAAAGCTTTTAAATGTCTTATGTCTTCTGATTTCTTAAACATCTAGCTTGGAACCATTTTTGGATGTGGGAGTACTTGGGAGAGGGAAATTGACTTTACCAATAAGTGTCTCAAAAGGGAAAAGTCTTTGTTTTATAGAGGATCTCTATTAAATTAATGACACCAGATGTTTCAGACCCACACAGTTGGGGAAGTAGGCCATTCATTGTCCCAGGAGATCTCCTTGTTCACAACTTTCTGTTCTTAAGGAATTTCCTATTGATCTGGCCAAGCAATTTATTCCTCTCTCTCTGGAGAGATGGGGAGGAAGAGAGACATCGAGAGGAAACCGTCAGAGCGAGTAGGGGATCCTCGTGAGCATGTCAGCGGATACGCAGGAGGAAGTGTTGATGAATGGACGCCGAATGTCTCCGGTACCGTTTCTTCCAACACTTCCGGGAGTTTCTAGTCTTAAACCAGACACACTTTCTTAAGTGTAGTTACGTCAGCTACAAGTGAACTGAGATGCAGACTTGATAGACCCCATCAAGTGAGAAGTTTTGTTGCGTCTTCCTCCATCTGTCTCTTATTGAGGGAAGTGTGGTATCGTTGTGCATCATGCTGGTTCTTTCTAATGCACCGTTGGAGAGGAGGGGAACTCAGATAGGAAATGAGGGAGATGCAAGGAGATGACAGGCCCATGAATCACCCCCACTTTAAGGAGATGGGTCACATCAAACACACACAGTGCGTTAAAATGCCTCATGTTACCTAAGCGAACAACAGAGGAAACACATTCACTCCATGTACTCTGAATCACCCATATA